TCGATGTGGTCAACGGGTATGTCGGGGGAACCCATATCGGCAGCGAGCATCGTGACATCAAGGAATCTCAAGTCAACATCGGCACGACGGGGAAGCAGGACCTTGTGTCCCCCATCCGACATTGGCAGACTGAAGCCTAAAACCTTGGACCCCGGGTTGAGGATCAGTGCTGTCTGCAGAAACCTCCGGGCGCCATGCACATGTCAAGAATCTCTGGCTGTTGAGGGGAGGGATTGATAATTCTGAAAGCCCCAGTAGCAGCTTGGATCTCCTGACCGATCCTTAACATTAGTCGGTAAAAGTACTCGGCCGTTTTCTCGTTGGATTGATCTGCTCTCTGGCGTTGAAGTTTAAAAAACCTGTCGCCTTCAGGATTGTTCCACCCCTGATTGCTTGTCAGCGCTATCAAACCTTAGACGTCCTGGCGCCGGCGGAGGACCAACTCTGTGCCGCAGATCGGTGAGGCTATGGAACTCGGGCACTCTTTCGATCAAGTACGGCACGATGATGCTGGAAGCTTGGTTCCAACCCCGGCTGTCTGAGCAGGAAGCTTCACCGTCAGGCTTATCTTGAGACGCCTCACTCATGATGGAAACGTGAAAGGAAGAACGTGATTGGTAAGTACGGACGGCGATTTATTGACTGATAGAGCCTGAGTATTGTTCAACAAGTGTCAAAGTGGTTGAGCCCTTTGCTGGATAGAACTTGACGAGAATCCAGCTTCATAAAACATGGCCGTAAGAGAAGGTGGCCTACGACCCTAGCATATGTATCGGTGGGCCTCCCGCATATGCACAAACATCTCCGTTGGTTGTTGGCTGCCAAGACAATGTTAAGCTGCGGCTGAGCTTTTTACGGCAGAGCGTTTGTGCACGAAGTCGCCACTTTGGCTGCAGAAGCGTAATGTTATCCCATGTAGGCATCCACGACCATTATGAAGCTAGCCCTGAGAGACAAGTAAGTGCTGACAATCGTGTGAAGCCAGTCACCGTACGCTTCTGTGATTTGGGTTCCCCATCTGGCAAACTCTGCATGTTGGCTCCGCTCGTATGTGTAGCCTGGTGAACAATCCTACATCAGGGCATAGCGGCCTAGCCTGATACACCACTTCGACAGTAGGTTCTTTGACTTTCTGAAGCGGGTCTCTCCTGAATATTCAGCAGACATAACCCAGCGTACCATACCGTTAATTTCCAGAAGCAAAATCTTTAAAGTCAAACATAGTTGCTGAACTTAGGCTGACTGGAACATTTTGCATCCCACCGGGGCAGATTCGTGACGGCTGCCAGGCGCCGAGATCCATGCACGAGGCTTGAAATGTGCTTTGTGGGGGTGGCAGCCATCTAACGTCCTCGCATCCAACACGGAAGAATGAAATGAGGAACCAGGATTAGAAATGGTGGCAATGCTTACAGCGGAGGTCGTGGGCTAGGACGATGTGACAGCCTAGCTTCATGACAGTCTGGGATGCCATGTGTTGCTTGCATCAGCAATTGAGCTCGTGCCAAACTTCGCTCGGCAATCCCAAAATCCTGTCTCAAAATCTCTCATTGCTCTATTGCTACGCTTTGCGATGAATAGATGCGGGTTTCACGAGATGCTTGTTCCTTTCCTGGTGTGCCAGAAAGCCCACGCTTTTCGCTTGGCCGGGACTTGGTGTTTTGCCCACAAGCGAGTCTGGATGACATCTTGCCCCAGGTGCACCAGGCGTTCATATTTCCTATGCAGTTCGATCCCTAATAGGAGTCATGCGACAGGTGTAGATCAGTTGGGCGTCAATGGCCTATGGTTCGATGCTGGCAGCAGAAGAGGAATGAGGGCCATAGGCAAGGACGCCAGGCCACATCATTGATGAGTGAGGACAGGAGGTTCTAGGTATTAATTCAAGAAGGAGTGATTGCCCGATACACGCCGGAGTTCGGCAGAACTAGAAGCAAGGCCCCGCCGGTGTTGGTGGCCTCGGATGTGGGCGTGAGTTAATTGCTGTGCCTGATTCCGCTTATTTCCCTGCTATTTTGAGCGACATAGGGCCGCTGCCACCAACAGCCGTGACGTAGGACGCAAGACATCCAGAATTAGAAATACCACCTCGCACAGCTTCGCTTCGCTCTATGCCAAGGCGCTTTCCAGATTCCGCCGTGTATTGACCAATAGGGGAGACCGACTGTGCCGCAGGGCCAGAGACGCGTAGGAACGGGAGTCAAGGCCGCAAATGTCAAATTATTATTAGTACCTATATAGGGACCGACGTAGGCAGTAATTATTCGCACCGAGCTTCCACGATCTCTCCCGATCAATATTGTTGGACTTCGCGCCACCGCTCCCACGTCTCGACACCACGTATATTTCACCAGCCGCGCAAAGAAAATCAATATGCGCCCCATTATCCCACTCCTTGTCTCGGTGACCTTTCTCACCGCTCAAGCCTTTGAATTCACCGGCCCCGACCCAAGCCAGAAGATCAACCTCACCCAGCCTGTCGAGATCACTTGGACCCTCGACTCATCATTTTCAGAGCCCCTAGCCCGTGCATTCAACCTCTGGTTTTATGCGGTGTTTAGTGGTGGAGGTGGCACAGGTGGCTGGGAAATCCGGAGCAATCTATCGCTCTCGTCCACGTCATATACCTGGAACCCGCGAAGTATCGTCGACGGCCTGATCTCCAACGGCAACCTGATCGTGCCCGGCGAAGAGCATTATTTTAGCGCCCAGCTCGTAGGAGCCGATGGCCAGAAATTGGCCGAAGTCCAGAGCGAGAACTACGCCCTCGAAGGATACGACTTCATCAGAAACGGTGGGCCGTGTGTCCGCGCAGAAGTGGCAGCTGTCGGTGTGATGGCTGGGCTTGTCATCGCTGGAGGCATGATGTTATGATTTCGGCATGTGTGGAAACATCGCGAGGGGTTGAGAGGCGCGTTGACGAGCTTTTTGTTGTTGGATTTGGCCCATCACAAATATGAAAGTCAAAGGTGTTCTCACGGAGGACACCACCTCCCATGGCTGTCCAACAGCCGACAACTCTCCTGGCACTTCTTACTCCATTCCACGTCATACTACAGCCCAACCTTACAAGCCCCAACATTCAGGCCGTATCGGAGCTCGATAGGTGGCATCTTTGCTCGCAAAACTTCAATATCTTGTGTGTATTTAATTGTAGAAACTAGGAAAATAAGGCTGTAGTGTTATCCAAAAGCAGTCGACAGCAATACCAGCATACAGACGACTCGTCGATGGGATACCTTGCCAGTCGTCTGGTGTTACTCGCCCGGAGTGTTATGCGAGCACGCGATGATGACACGGTCAGGGGGTCTAATCCCAACTTGACAGCGGACTGGTACTTTTAGAGACAAGATGCGGGCAAACTCTCGTAGCCTAGCGCTTCTGGATATCCATTATTTCGATGAAACGAGCTTCCTAGCATTTTACGCAATCAGACGCTGCTTTGAAGCATAGTTTTTACGTCTAAATGCGCGTGTACATCGCTTCCAATTGTATGACTGAGTTCCGCTCTCTCTCTTCTCAGACCTTCTTGTTGTGGGGCCGGATCGTACCACCTAGGTCCTCATCGTTTATCAAGATCCGAAGGAGGTATGAAATCAACAAGGGATCGCCTGATGTTTGATCGTAAGAACCAAGAAGGGAGGACCGAGAGCAGCGAGGGAATAGCTATAAGGAAGGTCAACGGACTGACGTTTAAAGGAGGGCACCGATCATTCTATTTTCCTAGAGACCCCCAAGAGACCAACATTTGATCCCTTCACTCGTTGAATAAGAATCCGTGACATCGTTGCCACCAATAATTAGCTTAAATATACACACGATTCCCAATATTGATCCTCCAGGACCCCGAAACAAATATCAATCAGTTCTTTAAGCTATGTTCGACGCATTCGGAGTCCTGGTTGCAAATCTGGAACTTCCTCGCATAAGTCTCTGCTGACCTAGCATATTTACGAGGATACACTCCTTGAAGATTACGCAAACATGTAAATGTAGTCGTAATTCTGGAAGTAATATCGAAGATCTGTCAGACATTAGCCATCAGCATAAAGCAAAAGATAGATCGCAGGAAAAAATAGACTTTTGAACAATGATAACGTCGCTTGGGGGAACAGGCTGGCCACCAGATGCAGATGAATACGTTTCCTACCTCCAGTGAACGCGAGTATTAATGGACTAGGACATCTTCATCGTGTTACACACCCATCTCAACAACCCATCGGAATGAGATGTTCATAACTGTGCTACCCTATTATTTCCAGCCAATCGAATTTCAGATACCAATGCACTGATGTGCATTACCCCTCCCAAAATGAAAGAAACATACACGTACAATAGCAGCATTTGGTATGGCCATACACCACGAGCAAAAGTCCCTCTTTATTGGCCATACATAGTAGCCCTCCTGCTCCACGGAAAGCTACGGAATTCCGCGGCCATGGTGCTGCTAGGCTGCCACGTGTGAGTGGAGACCGGAGCCCGGCGTTAGAAGCACCTGCCCCGTCGGATCCGGCCCCGAGGTGGACCCAAAACTGGCAGAACTCGGGAGGTTTTCGGCAACCCCCCCTCCGCACACGCAACAACACCCGAAAAAGGCTTGCCCAAAGAACAATCAAGCAATCCGGCTTCGCTGACATCAAAACCTTCTGTCAATTTTCCTTTCCTCTACACTTAGTAGTATTACCAGCAGCAAGATGCGCGACTATAACCCCGACCGCGTCCGCGAACTCCAGGCTTTCCAGCTTGAGATCAACCAGCTTCGCGAGTCAAGCCGCGTCATGCAAGAGCTCCTTGTTGCTTCCGAGCTCTCCTGCGAGGCCGGCAAGGCCCTCCTCGACAAGGCCATGGTCACCGTCACCCGTCTGCAGAACCAGCTGGAGACTCATCGCGCCATCCGCGTCGAGCTCGAGAAGCATATCGAGAACCTGGAGAGCCAGAAGGAGATGCGCGAGAAGACCAAGAAGCTCGACGAAGCCCTTAAGCTCGTCACTGACCTCAAGAAGAAACTCGAGGTCACTGAGAAACTGGCCAAGTATCTGACTCAGCACAACGGCAAGCTGGTTCGGAAGAATCACCAGCTTGAGCAGAGAATTTCAAGTCTTTCTGCCCAGCTTGCCGAGATGAGCGATGATGAGTTCCACACTCCCGCTTCCAGCATCAAGACCCAGCGAGCTGTTTTCCATACTCCCATGTCTGTGCCCCGTCATGGACACGGTCGTGAGGCTCATGTCATGAATGAAGCTCCCCCTCCCCTGTTCCGTCTTTCCGAGGCTGGCACTTTTGTCGCCAAGAAGGAGGACGATATCGAGGAGGAGAACAGCGACGAAGAAACCGAGGATGCTAAGCTCCTCTAAAGTCACGAAGAACGACAAGCCTTTTTTCTGTTTTGTGACCAGGCGAGTTTCCTAGCCTTATCTATTACTGGCCAACCTTGAGCTAATGTCCAGCAACAGTATGAACTCGAAGGCTTCCAATGATACACACGATATCAGCAAGAGATTCGCTCCAACGTGCTTGAATTGGTTCTTATGGTTTCAGGGATCAGGCTGGGGCAGGAAAATACCAAAGATTGCGGGTTCTATCTTAACAGTTGCACGACTGGCACGACTGGAAAGAAGTTCTTGAACTACGGGTGAAGATCGAGATCCAGGTTAGACATACGGGTCTCTGACAACGAATCGAAGATTATTCAATTGTCAAGTCATGATGCCCATTTTTCCTGATGCTTTCTGTGATAATTTTGCCTTGTTTGCATGTTCTGCACTGTGGTCAACAGCGGTGCATGTTCATAACGTGCTTGGAATGTTTGTAGTCAAGACCTGGCCATGTGTTGACACCCGCGGTCGGGCGTAGCCCTATGGCAATTTTGACACTTATTTCGGTATTACTGAACGGGGCACCCAACGACTGTCGTTGTAGCTTGGTCTGGTATGGAAGTGAAGATAGAGCAACGTCTCACTGTATGTTTCTTATAAAATCTTAACACCTTCGCACCAAAACTCCGAAGACCTCCTTGGTTTGTTACTTCCCTTTCATTCCCGTCTGTCTTTCTCATGATAATAAGCATGCTAAATCTGAATCTTATTTCTTTCTGCTACTCTTTCTGGAGAAAGCTCAATGGAGATCTCCTGCGTTTCGGCAACCAGTCGTGCGACGAAAATCCCCTCGACAAGAACGCCTAATCTTTCTGATTACACTGCCTAGTAAGCCAATCGAATCACCATCCCGTTGGATCCGAGAGCGACCTCAGGTACAACAATACGTTGAAGAACCGGGTGATCCAGATATAATGACAGATTTCAGATTCTGGGCTGGTTATCTGATATCGCTTGATAGCTCCAAATTAGATAGGATTCTTGAAGTAGGCGGTCGAGCCGGCGGCTCTTGGCTTCAAATTATTTGAGACCGTTCTCGGATTCAAAGGGATGGCCTATTTATGCATGACTTAGACACATTGCACTGCTGGCACCGTGGATCAGATGCATTCAACGTCATGAATCGAGGCTGCCAATACGAGACGGGAACATTGCCACGTTTGGGCACAGTTTGAGCTTCAACCATGCCTTTCCACAACGATTTCAAGACGTCAGAACGTCTGACGCATTCCTCCGTCGATTATGTTCAAAGATATGATTAAGAAGATCAAAAGAAGGTATCATATCGATCTAGTCTGCTAGATACACATTTTCAACCAAGCACATACTTAACTTGGACTCTCTACCTGAAAAGCTCGTCTCCCGACTTCATGACTGGGAAAAGCCTCTGACAGACAGGCTCCGCGTACTGCGCATGGATCACCTAAATCGCGAAACGGAACCTAGGGCTCTTCTCGCCGAGTGCCTCGATCTCAAGCGGGCTGAGACCGTCCATGCGGTGATCTTGCTTCCCTTCATCCCTCAACCTGTTCTGCCTCTTAAAGTGAAGATGCAGCGCAATATTCAGGCCAAGGGAAACAACGAGCATGCCCATGCTGGCGGCGTACCCGGCAATGAATCGAGGTGCGTCATCAGACACAAAGAGAAAAGGAGATGCGACGCCTGATGAGTTACCGATGGTGAGGTGTAGACCGGTCGAGATGGCGCGCTTGCCGTAACGAGGGTTGTTGGTGGGGACCCAAGCAAACGAGATGCCGGACGAGGTGAAGAGGCCCATGGACACAAAGAAGCAGCCGGCGTAGGAGACGGCGTTGCTGTGGCCAGAGATAAGCATAGCATAGCCAATGATGGAGCTGCAGAGGGCCCCCATGACGAAGTAGCCACGCTTCTGGGTGACATCGGAGTAACGCGCACTGAGCAGGTAGACGATGGCACCTGCTGCGTACACGGGAACAGTCATGGCTTGAACCTCGGCGGCACTCCACTCACCCATCAGGTTGATGATGGTCGGCAAGAAGACGACAAATGAGTAGAGCATGGTGAGCATGGGGAATAGGGCAAAGCAGTAGGCCCAAGTGGTCCAGTCCTTGAGGCCGTCAATGACATCGGACTTGACCATGTTGCGAAGGTTGTGAGCGCGTCCGAGCTGAGCCTCATGGATTCGAACGAGGTTGGCACGATCCTCGTCGGTTAGGAATTTCGCTGTCTCGGGGCTGTTGGGCAGAACAAACGGGATAATGATACCAGTCACAATGGTAGGCAGACCATTGATCAGGATAATCCAACGCCAAGCTGACCAACCCTTGGCTCCGTCAATGAACGAGATGCCATATGCAACTAGGCCACCAGCAACACCAGACAGAGCTGCTGTGGAGTAGAAGTAGGCGATGCGCAGAGCCAGGTTTCGGCGGCCATAGAACATGGAGAGGTACAGAACGACGCCAGGGAAGAAGCCTGCCTCGAAGAGGCCGAGAAGAAGACGACACGCGATGAGAGAGCCGAGATTCTGCACGAAGGCGCTGAAGGTAGCAATGAAGCCCCAGGCGATGGTCAGGCCAGCAAGATAGCGAGCCGGTTGCAGCTTCTTGATGATCATGTTGGAGGGGGTCTCGAAAAGCTGGAACCTTGTCAGTCATTGTCCTCTTTGGCCATCAAGATGATGGCACAAGGAACAGGAAACACGTACACAGTAGGTGACAAAGAGAACAGAGACAGCCAGCTGGAACTCCGAGCCCTCAAGACCCAGGTCCTCCTCCATTCTGAACAGCCTCGCATTGCCGATGTTGACTAGATTTCTTTCTGTTAGCTCCTTTGAAATGCTTTGATATTCTGAGAGAAGTTCATACCTCGATCCATCATGTTCATCAAATACACCCACATAACCATGGGGATGATGCGGTAGTCTAGCTTGCGCAGGACGCCACGTTCGGTCATCTTGTCAACCGGCTCATAGTCGGCTCCAGGCGCCCGCTCGAGAGCCTCGACCTTTCCAGAAGAGGAGTCTGAGTCCTTCGCAGCACGAGCCTTTTCCGGGTCAAAGTTGTCATTCTGGGAGTAAGGGGGCGCCGCGCTGTCACCATGGCCGTCGATGGGATCAACCTGGCCAGTGCCGACGTTGACATCGGGGTTCAGGCCATTGCCCTGGCTATGGCTGATATCATTGCCTCCGGTGGTCGCCATGTTTGATCTGTTTCGTAGTGGCTTGTCTGTGATCTGGGCTTGGGAGTGCGCAGGTCAAGCCTTGGGAGGGAGTTGGGAACTGCGAGGGTGGGATGTCGATGGTATTTGAAGAAGAGGGCCGTGTCTTGGTATCCTAGGGGTCGAGGAGAGTCAGAGAGACGATCACCCAGCGCGGCACCCAGGGGCACAAGGCACCCAAGCAACCAAGAATTCAGACCTCCAAGAAGACCAAGGAGGCAGGGTCCCACCGCCGACGTCTCGTTGATGGATCCCGCCCATGCGAGATCATCCATGGTTCTTCCCCCAAGGGTATGGGTTCGTTGTTGGCCGTTGGTCCTTTGCTCCTCGAGTACATGGTCGTCGGGGCGAGACAGAGGAACGCGGATCCACGTCTCCATGTTCCTTTTCCCATGGCGCTGCTCATGCTCCATTGCTCTGCCGGTGCAGTTGCCAGGTTTTAGTATTGCGCCAAGGTGCGAAAAGGCTTGGGTGCGTAGGGGCATGAGACTTGGCGGGCATATCGCGACCTTTTATTCGTGAGGCGGCGGAAGAATGAGTGGGCTGCGTGAAGGGAGCAGATCGAATTCGTACTGTGTGGTGAGTCGTCAATGTTTCCTTCCCCCGTTGACCCCATCATTCGTCGCTGGTCCGTTGTTCCTTCCCCGCGTCGCAACTTGTGCGCTTCCCCTTCCCCCGCATGCCAATGTCTTTATTCCTCGCTGCTTGCGTGTCATGACCCATCGTGTTGAAGATGGGTAGTCGCCGTCCCATCAACGGAAGCGAAGCTACCAGCCTTAGATCCATCTATCAAGACGGAGAACCGAGACTTTCTGACATTCCGCCGGACGAGTGGGCAGCCTTTGTCTCTGACGGAGCGAGATGAGATCCGTTGGTGCGGCGACTGCCTACCTCAGGATTTAGAAAGGCAGGAGGGAACTGAGCGATGCCTTCCGCTCGCTATGGTCAGCCATGTCCCCCCACTGCACCTTCCCCGTGCCATAGCGTGTGGGCCTCGCTCTAGGGCTGCCCCATCGCTCTGGGGGAGGGGCGTTACCCGCTACCCACTGAATAGAGCGCTGGCCCTCGGGGATTCAGCGGCCCATCGTTCCTCCACAGGCAGATATCCCATTTCAAAGCAGCCCGTGTCGAGTTCACCCTGTCGTTGTTCATCTTCAGTCAGCGTTAGCATCGTCGCCCGCCTCCCGACCTCGGATTTGGCCTCGTTACGGACATCGTCGCACATCGTTGTTGGAGCGGAAATTGATCGATCAATGCCTAGCGTCAATCATCAAAACATGACGCCGAGAACGAGGCGATCCACCACCGTGGTCTTTCACTGCACCACCAAATCCATACGTGAAAGATCGTGGAGGATTGGCCCGAGATCACAACACATCGGACCATACAACAAGCATGGGCTCAACACCGCCATTCAATCATATTGTCCCCCGAAAGAACAAAAATCGATCGAAAGGTCCGACGCTACCAGTTACAGCCAGGTCAAGTCCACCTCTCACGATGCTTGGATGGTTGGCCAGCTTCGACTATCATTACACCCGATATCATCGAACAGCCCAAGAACGAGACAATCACGATACCAAGCACCGGCGTACAGCCGCTCACGTATACCCAAGCAAAAGCCAAGACGTCCTTCCCCCAATCCTACCGCTGCCGCTCAGCCTGTCACGTCACACACCCGCGGATGTTCGACGCCCACGACGCCTTCCGATCCTAGTCAAAACGCCGCTCCGGCCACTCCTCTCCCCTGTACCCTCCTATCTGGCTCCACTCCTCAGACCTCACACGCCCCATCGCCGCGCCGCACCGGCGACACAGTACGCGTTGCACGAACCGTTTCTCGGCGCCGAGACTTCAATCCCAGACCGGCCGAAGGGAAGTAAGCTCAAATTACGTAGTTGTTGAGGATAAACGTGCAGCGGGTAATCGCAAGGGGCGGCTTCCTTCCTCCCGCCGTGAGCCTAGATTACCATCTCTCGTCAGTGTTGGCCGTGGAACTGACAGGGAGCACAAGGCTGGGCAACAGCTGAAAGTCTCAGGCTGCCGGTGAACCGTTCGTGGAGCTGAAAAGGGGCTTGTTGACGGTGTCTAGCCTTTCTGTGACTGAGTCGCAACTCCTACCCGACATCAATGGGACAGAGCATCGGACTGCAGTCGCGGGGCGAGGGCGATCTAGGATTGAAAAGTCGCCCATCTACCCGCGGAGAAGCCACATGGAGGCCAATGCCAAGTGACGCAACGGCAACCATCTAGATTATCAATCTAGCAATTCAGCCAGAGAGGCCAGCATGTTCTGCGGCCGCTCCGCCAAGGGGCCAACACGTTGAGCAAGCAATTTTAGCATGCGACGCTGACATGCCGATCTATCCAGGGGCCCTCGCTTGCTAGGCGCATGTACAGTATCATGACAGATATGAGACAGAACAGCGGTTGCCACACAGTCATCTGACGCGCGACTGACGAGCGATCGACAAAGACTTTGATCCTGATGTATGTCGAGACCTCGGGCACATCTGTTGATTTGCCATGTAAAGATGGATTCGCAGGGAGAACATGCATGCTCCGATCTATTGGGAAGGCCACCCCAAGTTTTGATGACCATTCGAATCGTCGATACTTTTCACGCAAGCAGCGTTCTATCACCAGGTAGTGGTTTTGTTCTCAGAGTCCGGTTTGAGAGGGTGTAGCATAACGCGCTATCGGTATGAACTTGACCTCGCTTTCCTTTCCGATGCTTAAGCCTAGTAGAAGGCACGAGATACACTAATCATTCGTGGCTGGAAAAGTCCTCTTCGCCGACCGGCTTCCAATTTGCCCATACGCCAAGCATGCGCATCTGCTTCCGTCCGTCCATCGTCAGGCCGCAACATCCGAGGTTTCTTCCTCGGCTCCCATTTCTGGGCATCATAGAACACTGGTACTAGCATGCCCAAACGTTGATTTTGGGTTAAGATAGGGTTGAGTTTTGCGGGGCGACACATGGAGACTTGGGTCATCGCCGAGCCATTCGAGCCGGACGTCCGGAGGCTGGCAGCCTGAGGGGTCGACTTCCGAGGCATTGGAAAGGGCGGGTAGCTGACCCTCTTTTCGAGGGGATTAGTGCGTTGTCGATGCGTGGTTGTCTGGTGGAGCTGTGTCGTTCTCAGATGGCGGCAAACATGGCGGTGTTTTGTCTCAGGCCTGCACGGAGGGTCCACGTTGGCATCTCGTGGTGTCTTGTCGCGCGCAGTTCGCTCCCAAGTTAACACGTTTCTCCAGCAAGCTTGACACGGTGGGTGATGCTATCGATTAGTCATTGATGAAGATCACCACATCTTTGGGACAATGTGTCTAGCCTCAACTCAGTTCGCTTCGTATGCGTATGCTAATCTATATGCTAATGATATTACGACGGCTCTTGAAAAGACTGGTCCACTACCTCACGCTAAACGTGTCTCAGAGATAGGAATCCTCGAAGAACCATCCTTCCTGTGCTTGTCCTCGATGTACGATGCGTCGGGATGCGCGTCACGTCGCCGGCGTCCTCTTCTGCGGCCCTCTGTGCTTCGGCCAAGAGGTCTGCGTTTTCTAGCTGGCGGAGCTTCCATACGCGAAGCAGCCAAACTGAGCCTGTCAGCGTGTATGTACGGTATGTTTGGTTTTGGGGGAAACCTACTCGAGATGAAGGATACGATGTACATGAAGCCGGTCAGGAGCTGGACACCGAGGTAGCCATCAGCCCCGGGCTGCTTGATGACGAGCGCAATAGGCTGCGCGAACGTGGCGGGGAAGACGAGGACGAGCCAGAAGACGGAGAGCACTGATCATGTCAGCAAGAGCATCAAGAAAAGGCTAGTGTTGCCGAGATGCCTACCTGAAGGCAGCAGCTGGATGCCGACGACCTCAGCACCGACGGGCGCTACCGTCGGCCACAGGCTGCCAGCGAAGGCACCGAAGAGGGAATACACGATGGTGCCGGGAAAGTGCTGGCCCGTGAACGTCCACAGGAACAGCGTCGAAAGCGCGGCCAGCAGCGTGCTGATACCGCACAAGTTGATGCGTCCGTAGCGGTCGCTCGCCAGTCCGATCAATGGGCGGCCAATACCTTGCGCCACTGCGACCCATTTAGCTTTCTGCTGTACAAAGGCCCAGAGGCGGGGGACGCAAGACTCACAGTTGAGGATAGCAGCGGCCAGAGACCCCTGGCTCGCCGAGAACCCCACGCTCTGGCCATAGTCCGGCAGCGAAAAGATGACGATGACGTAGCCAAACAGCGAGAAGAACCCCCAGCTAACAAAGAGCCAAAACTCGACCTTGCGCAGCAGCCGCCAGTTGAAGGCCGTCAGTACCGTGCCGATGGCTTTGTTCCTGTCTTTGACGAGCAGGCAGCACCCGCCATTGACGACGAGCGACAGCAGCGCCAGGACGCGAAAGGCCCATGCGAGGCCAATATTGTCAATCATGGCGTTAGTGGCGAGCGAGTAGATGAGGCCGCCGAAGCCAGAGCCGCCGGTCGAAAGGGCGGCGGCGAAGGAGCGACGGCGCCGGAACCACTGTGGGACGACGCCGACTGTGGCGTTGAAGGCGAGGCCCATGCCTATGCCGAAGGCAATACCCTGCGTGAGCAGGAGGTGCCAGACCTCGGTGCTGAAAGAGGCGGCGATGAGGGCGGCGGACTGGATGATGACGCCGGCGCCGAGGGTGGGCTTTGTGCCGAAGCGGCGGATGGAGAGGGTGGTCAGTGGCGAGACGAGGAGAGCTCGGAGGTCGTTAGTGAAATTTGTTGCTGGTGTGAGTGAGGTAACGTACCAACGGAGAAGGATAGACCGCCAACAAAGGCAAAGGTAATGGGGCTTGTTCCCTCGAAGGCGCCAGAATTCAGATAGTAGGCGAGAAAGACGGCGTAGGACTGCTGGCGTTAGCACCATGGAGGGGCACGTCGGGCCGGGAGGCTCCTACCGAATTGAGACCCCATGTGTGAGCGTTGATGAGGAAGACGCAGCAGACGACAACCCTGTGCATGTCAGTCGGGAAGATTCTGGGACGAGATGTAACATGCAGGGCAAAGCTTGACCTACCAACCATAGCCGCCTTCCTGGAACTCGGCCTCGTCGCCGTAGGTCCCCGGGCCGGAGGAGAGATCCTCGTCCGTCGCCACCGCCTTCTCCGCACCGACGACAGCGTCATCATTCGGCGTCGTGACGCAGTCTTGCAACTGCTTTCCTCCGGGGGCAGCCATAACGCAACGATTCAATGACGATATACGTTTGCTGCGTGCTCAAGATGGCGTGGGCCTATCATGGTTGATCGGTCCAGGCAAAAATTCCGGAAAGAGATTTATTAAATGGCAGCAAGCCCACTTGGTCGGAATCCAGGGGGAGTCATCGTGGTCCACTCTGGAGCACTGGGCGCCCGGGAATAGCAGGGAGATGAGGCTCGGTGAGTGCCGACCGCCGGGGCGCGAGCTCACGTGGCTTGGCGGCTTATTTGTCTTCTGGGGTAAACTTTAACTACACCTTCAAGAGGCCCGCAGGCTAGAAGCCATGTGTTTGAGCTGTATCGAACGTGGTGGCTTTCCAGGGCTAATGTGAAGGAACTTGAGATATCTACAGATATCTAGAAACTTGTCTTCGAAGCCTTGTGTGAGAGACATTCCATCACTGCATAGCTCTTCAGCTGAAGAAGAGTACTGGATGCATGTGACACAGCCACTTCAGAACCAGCAAGACCAACTGCTCCGTATACATTGTGAAGATAAGACCGGCCACCCTACCTACGCCTACCCCGCTTTCGTCGATCATCCCCCGTCAGGATGCCTCACCTCTTCAGCTCTGTCTGTTACAATCACACCCGGACATCACCAAGGTCAATTGGCAATTCCTTCGCTTTGGTAGTCAAGCTTTGCGATCCAAGCTTCAATTCAGAAGAGAAGCAAGAATTTCCATCCTCGACTACGTTCGCCTTACTAAAGCTCCGCAAGGCTTGTCGCCGAGCCCACCGACCTGAGACACAATTATCGTCCTGCATGATGAGGTTGATCAACACGACAACGCTAGAGCTGAAGACCGCCTATGGCTATGCCACTCCGTTGTATGCCATTCTATCGCACACATGGAGTGACGAAGAGCTTCTCTTTGAACATTTGCAGGCCGGGATCACGCAGCGTCAAAAGGACACCCCGAGCCGGGGTCTCAGCAAGATCCTCGAAACGTGTCAGCGGGCAAAGAATGATGGATTAGAATACGTCTGGGTCGATACATGCTGTATAGACAAATCCAGCAGCGCCGAGCTGTCGGACGCGATCAACTCCATGTTCAGGTGGTACGAGGACTCTGCAGCATGCTACATCCACTTGGAGGATGTTTCCAATAGAGGCCGCCAGGGTGGTGTTGTAGACATATCGCACAGTAAATGGTTTCGTCGTGGGTGGACGCTATAGGAGTTAATCGCAACATGTGGCGCAACCTTTTTCGACAAAGACTGGAATGAGATAGGGACTCGAACCGAGATTTCTGAGCATATTGTGGCAATCACTGGCATCGACAACGACATTCTAGAGCGCCAGCACGCTCCGGTAGACAACATTGATGTCTTGTCGCCAGTTGGAAGGGTGGGTACGATGTATCATTGCGGTTATTGCAACAATCCCAAGACGCTACTGCCGATGATGCAGCAACACAGTGTAGCTGCGAGGATGCACTGGGCCGCGCGCAGACGCACCACCCGGCAAGAGGACACGACTTACTGCCTTTTAGGTCTGTTCGGCATCAACATGCCCCTCCTCTATGGAGAGGGGACCAAAGCTTTTGTACGTCTCCAAGGAGAGATTGTGAGATGCTACCCCGCGGACCAGTCCATCCTTGCGTGGCTTGGGTACGAAGGTGTGTTTGCACAATCGCCCTCAGATTTCTGCTTGAAGGGGAACGTGCTAGTTCATCAGCCCCGTTGGCAAGGAGAGATCAAAATCGCCCAAGGTCCCTGTTGGGGTTGAGGTTGATGTCTTGCTCATTCCTCAGTATCCGCATGGCGCTCACGATTGACTCCGAGACATCGACGCCGCCGTGATAAACTATTTCTGGCGGTGCTTGACTGCCAGATTCACGGCCAAACACTACCTTGACTGGCAATTCTCGTCAAACGTCTACAGAGTCAGACGTATGTACGGCTCGAGTCTTCCACTATGACATTGATCAACACATCGGACAAGTCAAGACTGGTCGAGAAAAGATAGTGCAACGCTAGCTCCTCAATTATCGCAACCTGCAAGTCGAACACGTCTGAATACAATCATATTTTTCCATGCTAACAATCCTGATGCAGTTTCGGCCTGGGCAGAACTTCCATTGGAGTTTGCGCTCGAAGATGCGACTTCTCAACGTATCGTTCTCACAGACTGCGACCCCTTTGATGTGTTGCTTAGAAACCCAAACGGTTGGGAAACTCCGCCTTCATCGGTGGCTCATATCGAAATATTACCGGCCTTCCCAACTTTCATATCATCACCACAACTGATAGAAACCCCCACCGGGAACATCACCTTCGGTCCCTCGCTTACAGCAGAGCCTTAACCATCGGAAATTCAATCCATCTTTGAATATTACTTTGTTGAAATTGAGGGGCTCATTTACCTCTCCCGCGTTGGATCAAATGGCTTCTTGATTATCTATGGCAAGAGGTATTCTCATTCGCCCACACTGACAATGGAGCATGTGTGTGCGGTCCTCAGCTGGCAAGAATCCCAAGAATGGTGCTCAGATCAACAACGTGTTGACTATTGGATGAAGAGATTCGGACTTAGCGGCGAGGGCGTTTCGGTGGACGAGCCTGACATTAAAGTCGAGTTTCACGGCCCCAAGATGTGGCCTGTATTAGCTCTGGCGCCGGAAGCTCGCAACAAAGAATTCGGGGTCCACGTAAGCCTCCAGCTAGTGAAGTTCTTGGGGCGGGAGGACTGGCAGCTGTTCGTGAAGAGCCTGGATGTCTCATGAGTGTATGCAAAGTTTCTGCTCTCATCAAAGTACTAAACAACCGGAACTAATCGCGTGACATCTGGGCACAGTGTATGGTCGATTTCGTAATGATGACTGCATCAAAGTAAAATAAGATTGATATGTTTCATCTTCAATGGAATGGGTAATGGGGAATAGGGAGGGGAAAGGTCGCAATTTGATATAGAGCAGGCCTAAGCCAGCAATCTGTGCGATCATGCTCTATATATAGTTGTAGGACAGTCTGTAGTGGCTTATCCAATCTTGGTCTTGGTTTCATTTCCAAAGGTGTCAGTCATAAAGGTCTCGGTGGGAACGTGGTTTTGGTAGAATGAATAGGTCTCCTGTACTTAGTCCGTAGATAATAGAATAGGTATAAGGTTGTTGAACCAATATTAGGGGATTCCATAGGGCGGTGATCGCGGTAGGGGATCACCGATATGGTGATCACCGTGGCTGGGATTCACAGCTCTCAGGAGCACGTGAATCACAGCTTACGTGAGCGGTGAATCAGATAGGTATATCTGACTCACGTAGGTCGTGGTAATTCAGAGAGAGAGCATGAATCATACCACAAGACTTGTATCACCTACCCTACGTATTCAGAGCTCTCAGGCACAGCCGAAGCAATGAAACAGGGTTCATTTAAGCAGTGAAGCCCTCTCAACAAGGGCTGCGACACATCTGAATTCTGGCCCTCCGCAGTCCTTACGCACACATTCTCGTAGTTCTTAGCCCCTAACAAGCCCATGCTCCGTGGCTCTACAGGTGCCATGTGACAGTCATTGAATTTGGGGGGGCATAGCTAACTAATCTATGAGTTCGAGCTTAGCTTGAGGGCCCCAACGGTGTGTTTGCTTGGCATAAGTATCGACTACCTCATCCAGACCCAATTAGAGCCCTTTTAATAGTCGTAGCATTGAAGTAAGTTGGAGGGCTTGGGACTATGAGAGAACGTCCACAAGGGCTGCAGAAGGCCGGTATTGAGATGTATTCCTACCCCCCACCTAACCATTGATTGCGGATATTATCTGCATGAGGCCTCTTCAACCTGCTCATTCCGGCACTGAAAAGAGGCCTTAACTGTACAATATCGCTTGACAGGAATGATGACCAGACTAGAGGGGAAGTGGGCCAGCTACAGTACTACTCAAATTCTGTCTTCCTTATACGAAGCATTCAATAATCCCAAATAATACATGTCACACAAACCCACCCCAATCAGGCCTCTCGACTATCCGCGAACAGTATTTCCAGCACCGGCCCCAGCACATTCCCTTCGAGATTCAACGTCATAAGCTTCCCAACCTTCGTCGACGCTGGCTCAGACGACCTGACAATGGACCAGATCCGGTCCTTCGTTCCATAGTCAATCTGCGCATCCTGGAGCATCGCATGAATCTGATTGTTGCGGTCAATCACGCCCAGCTGCGGATCAGCGCCGAGGTCCACCAAGATAGTACAGTCCGCGTTCGGCAGTTTCGGCAACTCAACAGTCATGCTGTACGGCGTGTGCGAGGATGCGGCGTGGGTTTGCGTCGTGACAATCACGTCGGGCGTCTCCAGACCGTCGACGAGGACCGAGAGGGTCGGCGAGATGGTTCGCACAGAGAGAAAGTTGAACTTCCACTGTTTGCCCTTGGAGGTTGTCTTGAGATGGCCGAGCTTTTGGTCCCACTCAATTTTGATGTGGCGCTCCTCCGTCGCCTCTGTCGACTTGCTAGACTCGGCGCTATCGTCCTTGGGATCCTCGATAATGGTGAATTCACCGTCCTGACCGACGACAACAAGGACCTCATAGCCCGCGGGGTTGAAGCAGCCGTTCTTCGGCTCGAGTGCCTTATCCAGAGGGATAATGGCACCTTCGCGGGCAAGGGCAGGGAACGACTGGAGGGGCCTGTACATGTTGATTTCCCGGTCGCCGTCGTACACGTAGCCGTTGAAAATGTCAACGTGGCGGCCAGGCGGTACCCAGACCTTCTCTGAAGCAAGGTTGGTGCGTGTATCTCTGCGGCCTGTAACTGGTCTAACGACCAAGTTTGAGCCAAAGGTATATTGATTCCGCAGGTCATATGCAATTCCCCGACCGGGGTGGCTCCAGTATAGCGGCTGAACCAACGGCTCGTCAGACGCTGCGGCATTGACGTTCATTGTGTATATGTAGGGTACGAGGCGGTGTCTGAGTCGCATAAAGTGTCGGAGGATCGCCGCATACTCTTCGCGATACCCCCAGGGCTCTTTGCCCATCCACTCACTGTTAGATGAGTGGAGTCTCATGATGGGCGAGAAAACTCCATACTGAGTCCAGCGTGTGGCCAGCTCATCGTCGCGAGAGCCAGCAACATGGCCGCCGATATCGTGGCTCCACCAGCCGTAGCCAACATTGGAGGCTGTGGCTGTGAATTCAGGCTGAAAGGCAAGGGACTCCCAGGTCGAAATGCTGTCTCCCGAAAATCCAACGGGATACCTGTGGCTGCCTGGACCACCGTAGCGGGAGAAAATGATGGCACCCGATCCGTTGCGTTGAATGGAGTCGTCAAGGTACTGGAAGTGATTCAGTAGCCACAAGGGGTCAAGGCCAGGTATCCGGGAGTAGGGCCCCTGCTGCCAATCAATCCACCAAAAGTCGCAGCCATCCTCTTCGAGGCTCCGGTGGAGGACGTTCAAAAAGGCATGCATAAAGTTGGGGTCGGTTGGTGTAAAAAGAATCGGGGCATTGTCGGAAGTGTCGTAACCCATGGCTTTGGCTACCTTTTCATACAGGTCCTCAAAGTGGTGGACACCAGCATGCGGATGGTCGTTCAGGGTGATCTTGAGGTGGCGTTCGTGGAGATCTTTACAGAAAGCCACATGGTCAGGGAATAGGCTTTTATTCCACGTGTAGCCTGTCCAGCCAGTGTGCGTAACTTGCTCTTCGTGAACGAGGTGCCAGTCCATGTCAATGACGGCGGTAGACAGCGGGATCTTCTGGTCCTCGAACTTGTTCATGAGATCGAGATACTCTTTGTCACTGTAAGCGTGGTATCGGCTCCACCAGTTGCCGAGCGCCCAGCGCGGAACAAGGGGTTGTTTGCCCGAGATGTCGTGGTAGTCGCGCATGGCACTCTTGTAGTCCTGGCCGTAGCTAAAGAGATAGCCGTCGATGCGATCTCCAGACTTTCGTGGTGCGACGAATCCTTCGCCGTCGAACAGCATCGACTCGCTGTCATCCAGGTTGGCAAAACCGGAGCGGGAGAGTATGCCATCGCCCATGTCACAGCGGCCGTTGACGCCGTCGAGCGTGCGGGCTGTGCCGCCCAGGTTGCCTCCGTCATGTTCCCCGCCATAGCGCCATTCCGACCCCCAAAGAGTGGCCTTGTTGATGAACGTGACAAGAAAGCCGTTGGGTGAGAAGCGTTTCTTGTCATAGCTCAGATGCAGAGATGGCGTGACAATCTCGAGCTGGTCTTCCGTTTCCTTGACGGAGTAGTCGGGCTTGTCAAATTTGCGATTGATGGCAAAGGTAGAGGCACGGTCTTCAAAGGTCCCGTCGGGAGACCATTCGTACCTGAGAACTGAAGGCTTGATGACAGTGAAGCGATAATTAGACCCGGCGATCGTGGATGCCTTATGAGCAACCGGATCGGATGGGAATTTGTACTTGTCCATGCCGTGCTTGGAACTGCTGCTGTCAATGACCATTGGCCTCTGCTTTTGGGATGAAGACAAGATACTTGCGCCGCCCATGTTGGATCGATACTGAGAAACTCGGGAGCTCTCTCTGGGACGCTGGGAGAGCTTGTTCCAAGCTGCCACTCGCCGGAAGGGGGTGGCGCGGGGTTGATGACGCTCCCTCGATGACTAAGGCGAAGCTTAAGGTACAACGGCACATTCGGGCAGGGCAGGCAACAACGATGGGCACCATGGAAGGCAGCATGAGGCTCGATCGGGGGAGCGCGAGGCGGTCAAAGCTTTTTGATTGGGCTGTTGCTCGTAGAGAGGCACCAATCGCTCCCATTCTCGCCGCCCTGATCACGAAAGATCGACGTGGCCAGCTAGTTGTCCAGTAGCCTCCCCTTTCCCCTCCTTTTGACGACCGCCTCACAATTGGGCCTTTGCAACCCCAGAATGCCGCGTCCTGAACCGTCGAAGCAGATGTCGGAGGACAACATTGGTCTCGCCGTTGGCCTGAACCTCTTTGACGGGGAAGATCTTGGCGTGCTGCCGCGAATACTCGACCAGATCATCCCGTGTCTGGAAGACCTGGACCGAGCCCACGGCGCGGTTGCGACCCCACTCGATGAGGTCGACAATGTTGACATGGGTATTCCGGAGAACCTTTGTCGTTGGCGTTAGCACTTTCAGCTTTCTTCAGAACCTGGATTTCGGCGGTGTACGTACCTGCGTGCACTCTTCAATGGTCGGAGGAGGTCTGCGGATTCCCACGGCCCGGCACAGCGTGTGCCAGGCACCAATGTCATCTTCCCGACCGAACCAGACGTCCACTTCCTGACGAAGGGCTCGCTGGTACTCGGCCCGCGCATCTCTGAGCTCGTCAGTCCCCCTCTTCCAGCGACAGTGTCGGATGAGGGCTTCAAAGGACGCGGTAGGCGGCAGAGTCGCGTCATAGCGGAAGGCCGCGTAGGACAAGAAGAACCGGTCCAGCGGGGTCATAGCTGCACTTTCACTCTCGAGGTGCCCCTGGACATGCGGCTCAGGAGGCGTGCCCCTGGTTGCCTCGTTCGTGGCGTCCCGGGGTGTTCGGAAGTCCGTCACCTCGATGAGGCCATTGGCTTCCAGTTGCGCGTTGCCTACCGATTGGCCGGGATGTTCAATCTTGAAGTGGTGTTTCAATTGCTTTTTGGTTTCAAAGTCCCAGTGTTCGGGACAGAGCTTGCAGACGCGATGCTTGGGCGAGCTGAGGAGATGCTGCTGTCTTGCGAGTTTTGTCGTGAAGGTTTTGCTGGTGCAGCGAAGGCAGCATAGTGCCAAGTGATCCGGAGAGTGAGGGATAGAATCGGTGACGTGCTGCTTGAGACGGTCGGAATTGCAGAATCCACGTCCACACACTTCGCAGTCGGTCATGATGATGGTGCAAGATGCTCTTCTTGAGAAAGTCGAAGGAGTGGGGTATGAAAAGTGAAGTCAATGTGCACTTCGAATTCTCGCTACTATTACACATGTCTTGCGACCTACCATATATACGTTGCGATTGTTGTAAGCCCCAAAAAGAAAGCATTACGAACAATATATTTCAGGGCAATTCCTTTCCTCCATTTAAGCGCTGGGAGAGCGTCGTGTCGTTAATAATAGCCAAGTGGCTGCGTTGTTGGCCGTTGGGGCAATGCAACAGAATCCAACCATGAGGTGACTCGAGTGCTCGACCTCAAGGCGGACAAAGTTGGGAGGCCTACATTGTATTAATCCCAAGGCGTGATCCATGAGCCTATCTGCAGTTGGCCTGAACGGAAGGAACTTAAGGGTTGGATGGCTGTGCTGGCCAACCCGATGAGGCCCGCAGCCAACCGAGTGTTCACTCTTGGCTCATATTCGAAATATACAAAGCCTCATTTTCAACTGCTCGACACTATTGCAGCAAGCTCCTGCATGGCTCAGCCTTCCAGATCTCTTGGCTTTCTTGCAGCAGTTCCAGCCTAGCCCCGACAGGCTACTCGACATGGGAAAATCTCGCTTGTGAGGTTGTATCAGTATCGGCCTTTCTCTGTGAGTTTTGTCAGTAGCGTTTTATTCTAAGGCTATCTCGCGTCGAAGGTTTTGCAGTAGGCCCAGCGAGATTCTCTTGGAACGCATCGAGGTTGTGCTTGCTGCCTGGGGGCGTGTGACTTGGTGGCGTAGCGGATCATGAAGACAGAGTGCCGGTCGACTACTGAATACGACGACAAATAACCGGGAGGAATAACCCTCAAGGAAAAGACAGCGTGGTTTCATATCAAATATAGGAGTCGATGTGTCCTCTGCAAAAGCCATAAACACGCGTGGTGCCTATGAACGTGGTTGTCAAAACGATGTTCTTCCCATCTCCAGGCAAAGGCAGACAGACACCCCATGACGTAGTAGTCCCTGCGTCGTTAGCGCCCCCCTCCCGCAAACAGCAGCTTCACCCTAGCCTTCAGCCTTCACCTGCCTCGCCCGCGTGCCCACGCCAAAACCCCACCTCGACCACCCGTGCCCACCCAAAGCTGACAGTGCCAGGACACACAGGGCTGACTGGCCAGCTCCCCACCAGACCAGCCTGACCCGGACTTTCGACGCTCTCGCTCCTCGCACCGAGGGGGGCACCTTTCGCTCGACCCCAACCTTGGACCACCTAGTGACGGCTACCGATGCGCCCGGCTGGTTCATGACTTGCCGACTCCTTGGCCTGCGACCGAGCGAGCAGAGAGACACCGCCCTTTCCCCCTTCTCCTACTGCCGTACATCCTCCAATTCCATCATCAGTACAGTAAACGAACGAATCCTCACATAGCGAAGCTACCCCCCTCCACCTGCGGCCAACCTCCTCCGATCGAACACATCCCGACGACCAACCACAATCAGATATCCGCGCTGCCTGTTCTGCGCAAAACATAGACGGCCATCATGTTTGACATTTTTGCGCACTTCCTCTCGTCAGTGACTTCCTTTCCCCCGCAACGATGACGCAAGATACTTGTGCGAGAACGACGAAGATTCTGACCAGCCTCACAGCTCCGTCGCCTCCTTCCTCTTCCCTCTCTTCGCCTCCTACAAGGCCCTCAAGACCTCCGACCCTGCCCAGCTCACGCCATGGCTGATGTACTGGGTCGTCCTCGCCTGCGTCCTCCTCGTTGAATCCTGGACAGAGTGGTTCCTCGGCTGGATCCCCTTCTACGCCTACCTGCGCCTCTTCTTCCTCCTCTACCTCGTCCTGCCCCAGACCCAGGGCGCCCGCCTGCTGTACGAGACGTACGTCCACCCGTTCCTTGAAGACAACGAGACCCAGATCGAGGCCTTTATCGCCGACCTCCACGATCGCGCCAAGGCCGCCGGCATTTCTTATATCAAGCAAGCCATTGAGTTCATCAAGACCAACGTATTTGGTCTGCCCCCAAGCCCCCCCGAGCCTGAGTCCCCGCGTGCCGCCTCCTACGCCCCGCAGTCCTATACCCAGTCTCTTCTCGCCCGGTTTAGCGTCCCGAACGCCCGCTGGGCGCCGCCGCCGCAGCCCTCCTCCGCCTCGGGCAGCACCGGCGGCGACTTCTACAGCCTCCTCGCCGGCGCCGTCTCCGCCGCCACCCGGTCGGCCACGAGCCCCGGCTCCGGTTCTGGTGCTGGATCCGGGGCAGACGCACACCGGGGTGGTGGCGGCGGCGGCTGGGGCGGTCTGATCCCCTCCAATCTGACGGGCGCGACAGAGAAGATGTCCTTCATCGCCGCCCAGCGCGAGCGCCTCAACGTCGTCTCGACGGGCTCGACCGCGAGGCCCAGACGCTGCAGCGTGAGGAGACGCTGCGCGCGCGCAACGCAGAGGACTACCTGCGCCCCGGTAGCATCAGCCTCGACGGCGAGGGCTACGCGTGCGAGAGGCCCGTGAGCAGGGGGAGCAGGCACAGCGGCGGCGGCGGAAGTGGGAGCCACGGGTTTGGCGAGTGGAGCCGCAACCGGAGCGAGTCTGAGTTTGAGACCATCGATGCCGAGAGCGGTGGCGAGGACGAGGGGCGCGTGAGGCCCGGACCTGGCGTGCAGGGCGGACAGAGCGGCACGGGAAGCACGGGATCGTGGATGCCCTGGGGCTGGTCGGCGGCCAAGGAGCGGGACGAGAGGGATTTGCAGTACGGACGGGACGACCACGGACGGAGCTCGGGCTATGACCGCGATCGCTAGGTCAAATTGACCGACGGTGGTTTCCTTTTGCACATTCTTTTATTCCGGCGTTCGGGTTTTTGACTTTGAAGGGTCAACTTGACAGTCTCTGGAACGATAGATCCTAGAAGGGAGTCTACAGGGTATCATATTCCATGCTTGTTGATTGTAGATATGGTACAGTGGTCGCCACGTCCCATGTTCTAGAGTGGTTCTACATCTATATTACATTTCCCGGCCTTCTCTACCCAACTCCATGACCCCCACAGGCATTCCCGCCCCCAAAGGTAATCCGTCTTTTAGTTCTTCTTGTACGGGTGCGCGCCGCTCAACCCCTTCTTCACCCAGAGCTGCTTCTTCTTCTTCGTCACGACATGCTCGACCCAGACCTGCTCGGCATGCTGCTTCTGGAAGGCGCGGATGAAGACGGGATCCCACAGCTCGGACGCGACGCCAATGTCCTTTGCAGCAGCGCATCAGCGCGTTGCTCTTGCACCCCTCGACGGCGGCCGGCAGGGCCTCGGCCGCGAAGAACTGGTTCTCGCCCTGGGCCTGGGCGATGAAGCGGCCCTGCGCCACGAGGGCGTACTCGCGCGTGACGGTGCGGTCGGCGACGACGGGGGGCCCGCGCGGCACGAGGCCCCAGCCCGCGGGGCCGAGGGCCGCGTTCAGGATGCGCCGGTACTTGATCTCGGGGAGGTAGATGATGCCGTCGGGCTTGACTTCGATGTCGGCGGGGCTTATGGGCGTCGTGAGGTGGGCGGCGACTTCGGGGGTGAAGGCCGTCGTCGACAGGCCGTGGTACGAGGTCGACCAGTCGATGGTGGGGATGGAGGACGGCGGTGGCGGTGGTGGGTGTGCTGAGGTGGGAGCTGGTGCTGGTGATGCGGTCTGCGTGGCAGGTGCTGTTGAGGTAGGCGCTGCTGGGGATGTGGGTGTTTTGGCGGCGGCGGCTGCTGACCGTGCGGGTGCTGGTTTTGCCGCCTGGGAGACGTAGCGGGCGGGTGATGGCGATGCGGCGAGGAGAGACGGTGAGGTGGAGAAGCGGGCTGCTTGGGTGCGTTTCGCAGCGCGGAGTAGCGGGCGAGCAAGAGATCTTGAAGCCATGGTTGCGGTTGAGCAAGACGGTAGTTGTATCGGGGCAGTGTTGTTCAGCCCGCAGACCGAATGGGGGAGGCTAAGTGGTAGCGATGATAATGCCTTCACGTCTGTCGCGTTCGACGTCAAAATGGACTGGGAGCTTGGGCCTTCTGTACTGTGTTCAAGACAGTTCACAAACTGTATTGGAACTGTACATGGTCATCCGTCGAACATGATGACCTCGAAACCTTGAGAGCGGCGAATTCCACGGTAATCCTATCGTACACAATCCTACACAATCGTACTCTGCAGAGACCTCTGCGCTCGCCTCAAGCATCCTTGGAGCTTGTCCGTTGGTCGTTGCCTTGCTGCTTCCAGCACTTCTTGAATGTGGCCATCTACTCGTGTCAGCCCACCGTCGGCCTTCTCCCGGCAAGTCAAAGAAAAACGTACCTCTTCTGTACATTTCCTCCAATCCTTCTTCTCGAAATAGCAATCCGTCAGTTTCATGTTCTCGTCTGCTACGGTCAGCGGGTGAGGCGCGCCCAGGTCTCGAGACAACCCACCCGCACAGCCTGTGCTGAAGATGCGCTTGTCCCTGCAGCTCGGTCAGCATCGGCATCAGCGCCAGCCGAGGCATACCCACCATTCATCAGGTTCATCATCATCCGGGGCTGCGCTCTTGGCGGCATTGCTCTCTTGCTTGGACATGGCGACAGCTGAATCGTTTGCGGGTATGTCGTGTGAGCTGCTGTGCGAGTTGTAGAGTCGAGGTTGCAAGTGGCAGCGACACCGTGAGAGGCCCCGCAATCCGCTGGTGCCGGCGTTTCTTCTCGCACGGGCAGGTACTATCGGGGGTCACTTGCCCGGTGTCGCAGCAACGCACTTGAGACTCATTTCTGTTGAGACGAGCTTCAACACCACTTTCTCCTCGCGACACACCAGCATACCACACAACCTCCTCTCCGCACCGGCCGCGGGCAGCTCAAGATGTCCTCCCGCAAGCTCAATGTGCTTGTGTACACAGGTCTACACACCCCCTGCTTGCCCCGCCGTTGTGCCCCTTCACTCCTGGCCCCACTGACACACATTCAGGTACCGGCACCACCGCCGAGTGTGTGCGTCATGCGCTCATGACACTGCGCCGCCTGCTGCACCCGAATTACGCCGTCACGCCCCTGACCGAGTCTGCTCTCCTCAAGGAGCCTTGGGCTCAGACCTGCGCACTTCTCGTGCTCCCTGGCGGAGGCGATCTCGGCTACTGTCGCGTGCTCGACGGCGCTGGAAACCGCCGCATCACTGACTTTGTGCGCCGAGGCGGACGTTTCCTGGGCTTCTGCGCCGGGGGCTATTTTGGCTCTTCGCGATGCGAGTTTGAGGTCGGCAGCAGCGAGAAGGGGATGGAGGTCGTTGGGAGGCGAGAACTCGGGTTCTTCCCCGGAACGTGCAGAGGCGGTGCCTTTGCGGGGTTTCGGTACCACTCCGAAGACGGGGCACAGGCGGTTGAGATCTCCGTCGAGGAAGGGGCCTTCACCGAAGTCATGGGTGCGCCGAAGAGGACAAAGTCCTATTACAATGGTGGGGGTGTCTTTGTTGATGCTGCCAAGCTCAAGGACAAGGGGGTCGAGGTGTTGGCGAGCTACACCGGTGATGTTGACGTGAATGGCGGCGACGGTCAGGCGGCTGTTGTGTATTGCAAGGTTGGCGATGGCGGCGTTGTCCTCACGGGACCGCATCCCGAGTAGGCTGTTTTCCCATCCCGTGTGGGTGGTACTATGCTGACCCGGTCAGGTTTGCTGCCGCCAACCTCCATCGCATCCCCAGCAACCCACGATACGATCAGCTCATAGAGACTCTCACACAGGACGACTTGCCGCGCTCAGCTTTCATCAAGGCGTGCCTCCGGAAGCTTGGACTCGAAGTCAACGATGAAGATGCCGATATCCCGTCACTCACAGCCATGCACCTGACCTCCGTCAACCACAAGGAGGTTGAGGAGCTGATTCACGCTCTCGGTGATGTTATTACACTTGAAGGGAACGAGGAGTACATCCGCGACGAGGCCGACACATTCCATATCGATCGGGATGGCAAGTGGTCGATGAAAACCCTCGCAGAGTCCCTTCCCAACCCGGACGATCCCGCGAAGGGAAAACTCTCCGCCGATGGACGATACATCGACTATAGCGACGTCATCAAGGAGATCGTGCCACACGAGCGCGCCTGGCCCTCAGACGAGGTTACCCCTGCGTTCCAGCATAGCTTCTACTACGGGTGCCTCAAGGCCTACCAGCAGATTGAGGAACATGCGTCTGAGTGGGGCAACACTCTAATGTACGCAGATGCTACGACGAGCACCAACACCATCATGGACAAGTGCGTGACCCCCATTCGCGGATAAATGTCTCCAAACTGACTTTTCAGGAACCCGAAACTTTTGTCAAAGCTACCCACTGGCTTCACCTTGACTGCCGCGACGCAAGTTGCAGCGCGCGGCCGTGGTTCCAACGTTTGGGTTTGTCCTGCCGGCACCCTCGTATTCTCGACAGTGATCAATCACCCTGCGCACCTCCTCGGATCCCGACCAATTGTCTTTCTCCAGTACCTTACTGCTGTTGCCATAGTCGAGGCCATCAAATCGTATGACTTGGGTTACGACGATGTACCTGTCAAGCTCAAATGGCCCAATGACATATGTGCGTCTGCCCCTGAATATGTTTGCCCTCAGTTACTAACCGTATCCAGACGCGCGCGATCCTAAATCCTCGGCTTCAAATCCTTCCTATGTCAAGATTGGCGGAATATTGTCTACATGCTCCTACACGGGCGGTGCGTACACTCTCGTGTTAGGCATCGGCATCAACGCGACGAATGCTCGGCCCACTACATCTCTCAATGCTCTTCTTCCATCGAATCTTGCCCCTTTCCGGCTCGAGAAGCTCCTCGCGCGAGTTCTCACTCGGCTGGAATCGTTGCACTCTCATTGGATCCGCAACGGATTTGACTCGAACCTGGAGAACCGCTACTATAAGCACTGGCTACACTCCGGGCAACTGGTGACGCTCGAGGAAGAGGGTGTCCGGGCCAAAGTGGTTGGCATCACAAAGGATTGGGGCATGTTGAAAGCCGTCGAGGTTGATGGGGTTACGGGACGGGAGACCGGGCGGACGTGGGCCTTGCAAAGCGACGAAAACAGCTTTGACTTCTGGAGGGGGCTTGTAAGGCGAAAGGTCTAGACTTTGCATCTTCTGTGGTTGTATGGTCGGTGTGGGTAAATGGTCATGCCATCATCAGGGGTTAAAAAAGGCTGGGTAGTGCCGTCAAGAGCTGCAATGAGGATGGCATCCTTTTGGACATACTTTCAGGGGTAACCAGAAAACGAGGCCGCCTTGAGTGTTGCGCGTCTCGTGTAAAGGCTCGGTTCCAAACATTGGGGTAGATGCGTTGGCTGTGATGCTGATCGCTGAGCAGGGGTGGGACCAGTTGTCTCGCCAAGAAATATGTCTGTGGTTCCGAGGTCCTCGGCGTTGCCCGTCGTCTTGCATCAGGGAGGGCCCGGACACGGCTCAGAGATGTTGCTGAAGGGAGATTTATGCAGACCCTCACAAGGAATATGATAGAGGGACTGCTTCTGGACAGTCTGATGTGGATAGCGGTCGAGCCGGGTGGTTCCACGCGATTATGTTGCACGTTGCAATGCCTCGCATGAAGCGGTGCCGACCGGATTTGCGTCTCATGCCATGAAAGCCTCTCTGCTTGCTTTTTCTCCGTATGTAGCCTTTCACCCTCGCAGTAGTGCCTAGATCATCACTGTCATCGATTCGAAGCCATTTTGCTATTTTCGTCTTCTGCGTTACCAGACGGAGATCTTCATGTTTCAGGGTCTCCAAAGGGGAAAACAACTGCAGCTTCTCCGATACGTGACTGATTCCAGGGGGGCCTTGGGCCCTCGAATGTCAGAGCTGCCCCGATGGTTGCGGATAGAGGAGGACAGCCTCGCCGCATCTATCCATGATGTAAAGCTTCTCTCACGTCTCTGGTAAAGTGGATGTCGTCGATGTTAGAAAGAATGAGTGTAGTCTAAGTTTGATCATGCTTCAGCGCTTTTGTCCTACTACTTGCGATAAGCATTGTCCACGTTGTCAACCAGGGCATC